GAGAGAGAGAGAGAGAGAGAGAGAGAGAGAGAGAGAAGAACCGTGTGCTGACACTATCGGACCGAAGAAACCGCCCTTGTCAACGGGCAACATGAATCTGGAATCGGGGCGACATGTACAAAGGACAAAACATATGGCGGTGTATCTTTCCATGTTCTGGCGGAAGATTCATTCATACGTTGGGTGGTGGAGAACGAAGGGCCGATGAATCACGTAAGCACGTAACGTATCTCTGGAACCTTTCTTTTTTTTTTTTTGGAGAATCTCTGAACAAATGAGACTGAATCCTCCGCTTGAACATGGAAAGATACATTGCCATATATGTCTTGTTGTGCATGTCGAGAGWAGTGCAGCGAGCSCATTGGTAAACATTACCGTTGAGGTTCTGACAGGTTGGACGCGCCGGGCTTCACTCGTGCAAAGAGCTGTTCTTCCTTTACGTTTTTTTCCTTTTATTAAAAAAAAAAAATCCAGGAAAAACGGCTGCCAGTTCCGTCGTTTTCTACTTCAGAAGTAATACGAAGAGATCGTTTTGAGAGATCGCGACCCTCATCATGACTGAATCTGGCCTGCAAGAACCCTACCATACAGACTGCAATTACCGTTGAGGTTCTGACAGGTTGGACGTGCCGGGCGACACTCAAGCAAAGAAATTCTGATTTTCTTCCTTTGAAAAAAAATAATAAAAAAAAATCCAGGAAAAACGGCTGTCAGTTCCGTCGTTTTCTGCTGCCGAAGTAATAAGAAGAGAACGTTTTGAGAAATCGCGACCCTCATCATGACTGAATCTGGCCTGCAAGAACCCTACCATACAGACTGCAATACCCTACCACACACACAGTGTTACCCGAACTACAGGTTACTAAAAACTTTCAGGTCAATGCGCGGCCTCAAAAAAAATTTGGCTGCCCGTTTCTTATTTTACGCGAGCAGGGGGCCGGGTCTACTACCGCCCCTCACAACTTTTTTTTTTTTTTTTGACCCCCATTTTTTTAGGTGCGCCGCATGCAGTGCGCGCGCGTCGTGCAGGATGCGCTGTGCGGCGCACGTGCGCAGTGCAGCGCATCGCGATGCGCCGCAAGTATGATTATAACATATATTACATTCATCAGTTTCTCAAACTTTTTTCTTTTTCTTCACCAATTTCTTTTTTGTCTCTGTTTCTTTTTTTAGTGCCCGTTTTGCACACACTTACCTGAGTCAGCCCGCCCGCCTGAAACAGTGAGCCGAGTTGCCCATTTGCCCCCAAGAACATGTCCAAAATATTCATAGCCGCAGTAACCCCTCCTGATCGATGACCTCCCATCTTCTCATTGGCGATCTTGATTGCAGTTCGCATTCCATCCAAGATTTGCGCGTAAGTCAATTGTCGGCCAGATTGAAGGCCTCGTTCAATTGCTTCAATAAAGCAGTACGTCATTGCGCCCGTTGACGTCACTTGCGAGAGTGCCTGGAGACAAAAGGACGGGGCAACACAAGCGGGCAAAACTCAAACGAACAGTTAGGTTAGGGGATACTCACACTACCTTCTTAACCCGAAAAAAAATGTACGTACGTACGTGGTACGTACTATTCGAATTACCTCCGGAAATCGGGTTTTCAGAAATTGCTTGTTTTTCCTCGAATAGAATGTACGTTCGAATATAACGTACGTACGTTGTATTCGAATACGACGTACGTATGTTGTATTCGAATTTTTGCAACTTTGAATTTTTAAAAAATAATCAAAAAAATCCGAAAAAAATAAAATTTATACAACAATGCAATATAAACAACGTTTGCCTGGGGGTCTTATCGAAATTCACGAGAAAATTCGAGAAAAATAAATAAAAACGAGGATGAAAAATTGAAAATGTTTTTACTGATTTTTTCAGAATTTCGATTTAAAAAAAAGTTTCATTAAAAAATCCGAAAACAAAAAGGTATGTTGTACAACATTGCAATGCAAACAACTTTTGCCTGAGGGCCTTGGAAAAATTCCCAACCAAATTTGAGAAAAAAATAAAAGCAATGGCGGTACTACAGGCTTCTGAAAAGTTTTGTACCCTAAAACTCGTTCTATAACGTACGTACATTGTATTCGAATACAACATACCCCGTACGCGTTGTATTTGTATACAAGGTAGGTACATTTTTTTTTTGGGTTAAGAAGGTAGGACTTGTTTACTTGTCTACTTATTCCGGGTCGCAATTCAGGCCAGATGCATCCAGGTGCGGCCGTAAATGCAGTCAGATACATTTAAGAAGATAGTGCTAGTGTGAGTACGCCCTTAGGAAAACGTGCGCAGGGACAAATCGTCGAAGTCCTGAAGGGCCTCGCTCCCCTAAGAAAAAAAAAACATTCTAAATGTATCTGGGAAGGTTACTGGTCCCAATACATTCAAATCAAATTGTTGGACCAGACCGAATGCATCTGGTCCACTTGGCTGTCCAGATGCACGTACGATGTTGTGTAGTCGAGCAGGGACAAAGTGTCAAATACCTTTAGGGCCTCGCTCCACTACAGAACATACAAACGTACCTGGGGGAGTTTACTGGTCCCAATACGTTTAAAACATACTTGCGGCGCACGAGTGAGGTGCGGCATGCGGTGCGGTGCGCCCTGCGCCGTGAGTGGATCTAAGATGCGAGCGCACGTGCGCACACCGTGCACAAAACGCGTACAGGTGCAGCGCACCGTGCAGGGTGCAACTTCGCTGGTGCGCGGGCCTTCTTTTTTTTTATTTTAGGGTGTGTTTTATTTTGTGTGTGTGTGTGTGTGTGTGTGTGTGTAGTGCACGGCACTACTTCGCTGTGTTCATGAACTTTGATCGAGGGCAGCGTTGCCCTTGGATGTATCCTTCTAATTTCCAGGTCGGATACATTCATGATCAGCAGCCGTTTCGAGGAGACAACGCTGCCCCGGATCCAAGTGTTATGAACTTGGTTGTCTGACGATTTTTACCGCCACTCACACACAGACAGTCTCATACAACGCCGTGTGGACTTTGTCTCCGCCCATACATGCATAAGAGAAGGGGGAGAGGAGACAGAGTCCAAACTGCACACAGGTCAGAGTAGATAGCGGAAGCACAACTATGCACAGATGGGGAGAGGACACTGCGTGTTTCTCACTCTCTGACTAACTCCCACCAACCAATCACAAGAAGAAACCTGCGAGGATAACAATTGGAATTCACACTGATGAAGAGCCAATTAAAACCAGATATCGTTACAGAGTTTGTTCCAGTATCTCGCCACACTCAGAACCCCACACTCCACTCTCTACCCTACACCCAGTTAGTACCGCACAACCGAAACAGCCTCCCAGAGGCCAGCGCCAACCACCCAGATGAAGAACAGATCCTGCGATGGAGTCTTCAGTGCTGATGGACAACTCTGAAGAAGAAACAGGCAGCTATGGCTGCCGCCACCCACAAACACTCAGTGAAGAGCCTCCACATAGCCTGGCCAGATGCAGATACCCCCAGGGGTAGATGCGCTGAGGGTGCCCCAGCTCCAGCAACCTTCAGAAGGGCCAGCTATGCCTGTCGTCCCAGGCAAGGGTCTCAGGATGCCGCCTGCAGACAATTGCCACCGCCAACTTGCTTGGCTTCTCCAACCGCTGCTTCGCGAGAATGAACTGCCAAAAGTCCTCAGCCGTCCTACCCCAACCTACCTGTAGATTCTACACTACCCTAGCCTACCGTCTTCACCCGAATAGAACGCCCGGTCATTACAGCCGTTTTTGGTGCAACTTTCAGTCTAGATACAGTGATAATGACCGGGCGTTCTATTCGGGTGAAGACGGTAGGACCTACCGTACCGTTTCACTTAAGGGCCTGCTCCGCCTCTACGAAATCGGTCCTACTGCTGCACTTAGGGCTCAAGGCCACTTAGGGCCGGTAACTACTCAGCCTCTACTGCTGTTAATTCAGGCTATTTTTAGAACAGCGGGCGGCCCTCAGTGCGACCTAAAAAAAAAACAGCAAAACACACAGCAAACACAGCAGTACATTGTACAGCCTCGCAGTCAGTCTCGGCAGTTAAAATCAGCAAGTCTTTGCACAAGTTACCGCCCTCCAACCAAGTTCCCGCCCTTTATGGAGGGCAGTGTTGCCCCGAATGTATCCTACCCTATTATCAGGTCGCATACAGCCGTCATTGGCAGTGTCAGAAGAACGGCAAAAGAAAACTATGTATGTCTGGAAAAATAAAAGCGAAAAAAACAAAAAAACAGACCGAGAGGGGTGTATCTCGTACTCACACCAGGACTTTTCTGGATGTATCACAGCAATGATGCCTGGAATCACGTCCGTAGCTGAGTCTGGCCAGATCCCACTGGCAAAGAGGATTGGAATGAGTGTCTGAATCTGTACGTGTTTGTGGAGAGGTGCAGAAAACTGTGATCGATCTGCTTTTCTGCATCTCTGCGTGCAACACGTCCAGATTCAGACACTTATTCCAATCGTCCTTGCCAGTGGGATCTGGCCCCCTCACTGCTCACCCACCACATGCACAAAAACAAAAATTATGGTGGTGTATATTTCCATGTTCTAGCGGAAGATTCATTCTCATTGTGCACAATTGCTGAGTAGTGCAGCAGCAACGTCCCTACTGTCAGTAGGGCCTCAAAGTTAACGTTGTCCTGACTATTATTAGGAAAAAAGAAAAGAGAGATTGTCAGGAGTATCCGTTGTCTAGAAAAAGAAAAGAGATATTGTCAGGAGGATCCGTTGTCCAAAAACAGAGCCCCGCCCCGTTACTCCACGCGTGACATTCGGAATGTATTGGGAGCATTAACAGCTCCAGATACAGAGCATTGTAGACTCTTTGTGCAGTGGAGCCAGGCCGATCTTGAATCTATCTTCAACCATGGGACAGATAACACATCTTTGGGGGCGGCCGTAGCGCGCGGACCCCAATTTTTTTTTTCTTGTGGAATTATTATTTTTCTGAGTTAGGGGAATGGGTGTGCCATCCAACCCTACCACCCCCGAATTTTTTTTCCCACCCCTATTTTAAGGGATGCGGCGCACCACGTGCGCACGCATGCATGCGTGTGCGCTTTGCGCCGAGCGCGCACGTGATGTGCCGCAAGTATGGTTTGAAATGTTGGGTCAGTCCAAAAACGCATCTGGTCCGTCTGTCGGTCCAGATGCATGTACGATGTTGTATAGTGGAGCACAGACGTACTGTAGGATGTCCAGATAATGGGGGGAGAAGCATTGGAGTGGATAACCATTGTTGTATTCAGCCAAGTTGCAGTACGAGAAGCCAGATGCATGTGGACCGATCCAACATTTTAAATGTATTGTGACCAGTAACCTGCCCAGATACATGGCATAGGAACCGGACTGTAGCTCCCCATAATGGGACAAGAAGCCAGAACCATAAGGTTTTGTTTTAACTTTTTTATTTAAAGAAAAGAAACAAAACAAAAGGAGAGGAGCATGCCTGTTTCTAGCCTTCTAGGCAAGTAATGAAGAAATTATGAAATTGTTGTCGAACAAAGGCCACCTCCAACAAAACTCACAGGCCGGTTTGTTCAATGACGATATATTACACGGCGGTCACCCTTTAAAAAAAAACAAAAACAGAAAGTCAAGTCTGAGTGCTGACACGTACAGAGATAGCCAGATGCTTGCCGTACTCACAACTAAATCTATGTAGCCTTACTACTGTCTTCCCCCGAACATAACACACCCTCATCACAAATGTATACAAGCTAGCTTTCCAGTCGGGAACAGACAAGATTAGGGTGCGCCGGAAGACTCTTCCCCTGAACATAACGCACCCTCATTATGAATGTATACAAGCTAGCTTTCCAGTCGGGTACAAACAAGATTGGGGTGTGTTAGGTGGCTCACCAGAAGACTCTATCCCCGAACATAACGCACCCTCATTATGAATGTATACAAGCTAGTTTTCCAGTCCTGTACAGTCAAGATTGTTGTGCGTTATGTTTGCGGCAAGAAGACGGGTAGCCTATCACTTTGCTACCATACAAACGCAGCGACGAATGTGCGAAGGTGGAGTTGGAACGTTGACGGATACAGAGACGCCCCGATGACAGATACAGAGACGCCACGATGCTTTAATTATTAGGAAGGAAAGCATTGCCCCCCAAAAAAAAAACAAAAAAAAACAGGGAATCCAATTCTCATACTCACAGAAGTGTCGGCAGATGTCTGACTATCATCACACCCACTGAAGCAGAACGCCTCGCCGCCACTCGTCCCCTTTCGGTCCCGGTTCCCACGTCTTGGTCGATGGTCCTCCCATTCCACATGTCCATGCCTGCAGTTACACAAAAACGAAAAATAAATTGCCTTTTATTTCCGCGTTAAAAATTTTCAGCAAGGAAATCAGAAAGGCGGTTTCTACAATCGTTTTCTAACCGCGCAAAACTGTTTTGCAAGCGACAAACATGAAAACGGATCTCGTTCCCCGTGGAAACGCTCCTTCATCGAACTTTCACCTTCCGCATCAGGTGGCCACGACCAAAAGTCTATACTGGTTTTGATTGGCCAGTCTAAACCGCACAAAACTGTTTTGTAAGCGACAAACATGAAAACGGATCTCGTTCCTCGTGGACACACTCATTCATCGAACTTTCACCTTCCGCTTCAGGTGGCCGCGACCAGAAGTCTATACTGGTTTTGCTTGGCCGGTCGGATTCCAATTCGCACTTAAAAGAGGGTTGCAGGATGGCCCCCGGCCATCGCCCATACCCAAATAGTTCAAGCGGTAGGAGCATGTTTCGTGTCAGGATCCCATTCAACTTCCTGAACTTCGAAACCACACAGAAGCTCCATGAAGCGTACCTGCAAGTGGCAAACGCAAGACCGTAGGTGAAACTGCCCTCCTTCAAGCACACGAGGACCGTGATGTTGGACATCGTCTACATGCGTGCGCAGAAGTCGGTGGAGCCGTTGACGACTTGCTGGGATGTGACCAGCTGTACTTTCATCACAGACGGGTTGAGCGATTGTCTGGAGCGGCCTGTGATGAACTTTTTGGCGGCCGGGGTGGATGGGGCATTTTTGGTGGTGACAGTGTCAATGTCAGGAAGGAAGAAGACTGGAGCCGAGGCATTGGCAAAATTGTGGGAGCACATCACGAGGGAAATCGGATTGTGTCAAATCAATGCGATCTGCGCTGACAACGTGGAGGTGAACAAAAGGGCGGCTCAAATCTTGGAGCGACGAACTGACAAGGAGATAGCAAGGATACCGTGGGTTCCTTGCGCACGCATTGCTGCAGCCTTCTTTTACGCGACCTTAGCAAGCTTGATTGGGTGAAGAACACCATCAAGTGGGGCCACACCATGGTCAAGTTCATTAGAAATCACCAAAGCACACATAGTCTGATGATGACAGTGGACGATTCATTGTCCCTTCTTCGGCCCACAAAGGTTCACTTCGGGTCGGTGTACCAAATGTTGGAGAGGGTTTACAACAGAAGTGCAGTGTTGAAGGACATGGTTGGTGGTCAGAATGCAGAGAAGTGGAAGGCAATCCGATGGTCCACATCGCAGTTGAGGGCGAGATCAGATCTGGTGTACTTCACATTGAGGAGTGACGACTGGTGGATGGGGTCAAACAAGGTGGTCGAGGTGATGGAGCCCATGTTCAGTCTTCTGAGGCGGATGGATCGGGATGGTACTGGTCCTAGAAACCTTGTTGAGTAAGACAACATGATAGAGAGGAAGTTCAGCCATGTCGTCCTTACGGTGGAGCAACGGGCGAGCATAATGGAGAACGTCAGAGATCGCATGAAGATAATGCGGCATCCCGTCCACACAACAACCTTTCTTTCGGATCCGCGCAAAGAGAACCAAGGCGGCCGCTTGTACAGAACGCCATGCATTTTCTCTCGAGGCAGGTTGAAGGTGAATGGAAAGGGTCAGCGCACATTGACATTTGGGATGACCTGAATGAGTTTCATTGCAAGCCCACAAAGAACGGCCCAAAAAGGAAAGACACAAAGATGTGGGACCCTATGGCGAGGGCAGATGTCGAGAAGAAGACACCATCAGAATGGTGGGCAGCACACGGTGGCGACGTGCCCGAATTGCAGGAGATTGCGATCAAGGTTATGGGCATGTGGAGCACTACATCACCAGTGGAGAGGAATTGGGATTCCATGGACTTCGTCCACTCCAAACGAAGGAACAAGTTGTCGCCAGAGAGCTTGGTGAAGCTAGTGTACATCCACTCAAACATGCAGCTACTTCGTGTTCCAGAGACTAAGAACGACGGATTTGTGGACTTGTGGTGTGAATTCCTCGAACCCATCTCAGAGCCTGAAGAGAATGAGGGATCAGTGTCCAAGGGGCCCAAGGAAGAGGCTGAAAAGACAGAGGAGGAGCTTGTACGGGAGCGGAGGCTCACAAAGACTCCAAAGGGAAGGGTTCCAAAAAATCTCAAGGACGAGGACGAAGAGCTCAGGGACAACAGTGATTTGGATGAAGAGTTGTGGAAGGGGAAGTGTGGATCGTCAGATGACTCAAGTGGCAACGAAGAGGAGGCAGATGATGACTCCGATTTTGAGCCACGACCAAAGCCGGCCGTCACGGGCACGACGTACGTCGAAAAGAGGCGGACTGGACAACAATGCAGAGAAGTGCCACACCCAGCAGTGATGGAGCCCGGGGTAGGAGAAACAGCACTGTATGATCTGCAATCTGATGTCGAGTTCGCACGACTAGATACTGATGTCCAGATGTTGCTGCAAACAAGGGTGGACGAAGATGAGGAGGATGTGAACCGTGGCAAGGCTGTGACCGATCCGGGAGACCGAACTCATCAACAAACTTATGATGGAGGAGGAGGCCCGCCGTGCAGCTATCTCGACACGCAGAGAGATCGGGAGAGGTCTCAAACAAGCCAGGGAGCATCAACAGTAGATCAATCCAGCATTGGAGGTTGTGGAAGATGGAGAAGAGGAGGAGGAGGAGCACCAACCAGACGTGGGAGACGACATGGAGCAGGAAGAAGAGGTGGAGGGCATGGTGCGACCAGAGGAGGGAGTGGAGATGGAGCATCGGGAAGAGGAGGAAGGCATGGTGCAAGGTGGGGAGGAAGAGGAGATGCAGCAGAAAGAGGAGGGGGATGGGTTGCCGCAGCAGGAGGTGAAGCATGGCGAGGTTGATAAGGCCCGTGATAGCCAGCCCCATTCCACAGCGACAGCAGTCTACGCACGCAGGCCTCAGCCAACGAAGTTTCTGGAGTTAAAAGGAGAAGATACCGGAAATTCCCCACAATGAAGGAGGCTATCCAGCATGACAACCTGTGGATGAGCTAAGTAGGCAGGAAGAGAAAGGAGCCATCACAAGACGCTCCTGCACAGCTGAAACGTCCTCGTGGCAAACCATACAAGCCCATGACCGACGCGTCCACTACACCGGCCAAAAAAAAAAGAAACAGAGCCGCAAGCGCAAGGTGGTGGTCGAGGATGATCCGAAATCAGCTGACTGCAGCAAACAGCCATCCGAAGATGAGGGCTGCGGCGATGATTCCGAATGAGATCACCATGTCCAAGTGTGAGTGTGTGTGCGTGTGTGTGTGTGTGTGTGTGTGTGTGTGTGTGTGTGTGTGTGTGNCTCTCTCTCTCTCTCTCTCTCTCTCTCTCTCTCTCTCTCTCTCTCTCTCTCTCTCTCTCTCTCTCTCAGACACACACACACACACACACACAAACGCGCGCGCGCGCACGCACGCACACACAGACAGACGCACACAGAAAATAAGATATCCCGATCGGCACGGGAGCAGGGATAATACATTCATCTATTTATAGCTTCGATGCATACCCGATCGGGAAGGGACAAAGGATAACTCACCCATGCATCCCGATCCGGACGGGACGACGGATAATACACTTTTATATATTTATATATAACTTAAATGCATGCCAATTGGGAAAGGAAAGAGGATAACTAACCCATGGATCCCGATCGGTACCAGACAAAGGGTAACTCACTTACTCCTGCGTCCCAAACGGTACCAGACAAAGGGTAATTCACTCATGCATCCCGATCGGAGCAAGGAAACGCAATATCCATCCCTCTACTGGTCCCAATTTGCGAGATGTCCCTAGGCGCAATGACCGAAGGCCCAGGGGCACAGCGGAAATTGCATGCCTGTCTTTTTTTTTTCTTCTTCTTTTATGAAAAACTAAGCTATATTATTTTCTCACTTTCACCTTTCACTACCTACCTACCCCCCCCCTTAATTGTGAGAGGCCCTACCTACCCCCCCCCCTTAATTGTGACAGGTAGCTATGATTGCATGCCTGTCTACCAAGGTAGGTAGTGCTTGCGGCAAGGCTGTGGGTCTCAGAAAATCTTGCACGGCGCAAATATAAGAAATCACACAGGCAAAGAGCGCAAATTGTCATAAATAACAATTCCCCCACCCCCCCCCAAAAAAAAGATAATATATAAATTTCAACAAAAAAAAGAAAAAAAGAAAGAAAAAAGATGGCCGCGTTGTCGCTAGTCAACGCCCTCGTTACCAACGAACCTAGCTCAGTTGGCACACCGATGAGCTGTTGACGTATCTGACCCAAGATCGAGTCCAGATGCAACCAGAGATGAAGAAAAAATCAAATAGTTCTGAATTACCTGCGCCAGTCAGTTCAATGATCGTATCTCAAGGCCGTCGCCCTTTGAAAAAAAAAAGAAGAAAAAAGTCCACAATCCCGAGGAAAGGCGCACACACATACATAATAAAAAACATATAAATAAAATAATAATAACAAATAATTGAAAAAATAAATAACAAAAACAAAAACATTTTATGTATGACAATCATACATAAAATGTTTTTGTTTTTGTTATTTATTTTTTCAATTATTTGTTATTATTATTTTATTTATATGTTTTTTATTATGTATGTGTGTGCGCCTTTCCTCGGGATTGTGGACTTTAAGTATATTATATATTTATACATACTTCTATTTTTTTTAAGGCGCACACGTGCCAAAAAAAAAAACTGAGTCCTTCGGACATCTGTTAAAATTGGAACGATACAGAGAAGATTAGCATGGCCCCTGTGCAAGGATGACACGAAAAAAAAAACAAAAAACTGCTTAGTGAGCGGATCAGGGATGTACTGACAGAGTGATTACGTCAGTATCTGGACTGTTAACTGCGTCACATACAGACAGATATGAGGACCCCCCCACCGGAGGGAAGACGAATATCGAAGGTGAGTATCTCGGCCCCAACGCCCTGTCATTAAGACTGAATCTGGAGTGAAAAATTGCATTAAATACAGCTCTGATGACAAGGCGGTTGTCCCCCCCCCCACCCCCGGTCATTGTGACTGTGCATCTGGACTGAAAATTGCATGAAATACACAGCTCTGACGACCAGGTCGTGTGTTCGGGGCAATTAGGTAGTTCGGACGATTCGAAAGAGACTCGGCCGACGTCCCAACTATCAAAGAGGATTCAATTAAGCGCCTGAATCTGGATGGGTTTTACGGAGAGATGCAGACTAGCAGATCAATCCCGCGTTTTTGCGACTCTCCACACATACGTCCAGATTCACGCGCTCAATCCGATCCAATTTGCTAGTGGGACCTCTCCCCTGTCGTAGACAACGAGGATCAGAGCTCTTGATTCCCGACCGGTCTGTATTTCTTGATCCCGACCGTATATCATCGTTATCTACGGCCGGTATCCCTTAATCCGCGATAGATCAGCATCTCAGCGAAAGATGCGCGCCAAGCGAAGAAACGACAAAGACGGAAGGAGAAGGCGACAAGAGGACAAAGAAGGACAGGCCAAACAAGGACAGGACGTGGAAAGTAGGAGGACGAGAGAGGAGGACACAGGAGGAGAGAGAGGAGGAGGAGAGAGGAGGAGGTAGAGAAGGGAAAGATGAGAGAGAGACGATAAGTTTGACAAGGGAAGAGGGAGGAGAGGATTCAGCAGCAGGAGGTGCAGGAGGAGGAGGAGGAGGAGGACGAAGAGGAGGTAAACGATTAAAAAAAGAGAGGGAGGAAGAGAGGGAGGAGGAGAGGGAGGAGGAGAGGGAGGAGGAGAGGGAGGAGGCGAGGGAGGAGGGGAGGGAGAAGGACAGCGCGATGGTGCAGCAGCTTTGCCGCCCTATTAGTAACCGTTTTTTTAATTTTCTGTCTTGAAAAATACACGGAGGAAAGGAGGACAAACACACACAAAAAAAAAAGGAGGAAAAGGAGAGGGAGATAGAGACACCAGGAGGGCGACAGAAACCGACACGAGGAATGCAATAAATGTTGGATTCACAACAAAAAAAAAAAAAAAAAAAGAGCACGAGGAGGGTGAAAGAAACCAAACAGAAGGTGAGGAGGAAAATTTCCTCCACGTCCTGAACCCCGACGACCTCATCGCTAAGAAAAGAAATTCAACCCGGATTCCCCCCCCCTGTCTCTTATACACATCTAGATGTGTATAAGAGACAGGGCCTCCACACAAAAATGAACCGGTTGCTACACGGGGCCTTTCCGCACATCGCGGGGGGAGGGGGAAGGGGGCCGGAGGGCAGGGGGACGGAGGGAAGGGAAGGGGGAGGACGGGGGAGGGGGGAGAGGCGGCAGCAATCCGGTTCCTCTCCCACCAGCAATCCGATTCCTGTCTGCGTTCTACTCTGGGGTGATGCTCCCGCTGCTCCTGCCCTCTGTCATTGATGTTCCTCCTTTTCTTTGTTCTTTTTTTTTTTTTTGTCCCTTCTCACCTTCACACTTGCACAATTTTCCATGCATCCAACTCTTGTTCATTTTCGCTGCAAATCATCAGTGTCCCTCACAAAGGTCGATCCCACCACCCTCAACAGACGGTCATGCCGACACCGCTTCCATTGCAACACCTGAGCCGAAGGGCAAAGGAGGGGCACCAAAGCCCACAGCTGCAACGCAAAGCTGTTGGCCATAAATTAAGTTTATGAACTTTCCGGTAACTTTCAGCGATTACTCACCTCACTGCCAGCGAGGAGAAGCTCTATTTGAAGAGCCGAAAGGGGTTGTTGAGAGGGAGGTCGTCCATGCGATAGAGATTATCCCAAGGTCTAGCATTCCAAAGGGCAGGATCTATCGGATGTCTCCAGGCGAGCTCGATGAGCTTCGCCAGCGGCTCAAGGAACTCATACAGAAGGGTTGGATCCGGCCGAGTCTCTCCCCTTACGGATCTCCAATCCTACTTGTACTGAAGAAGGGGGGAACTTTGAGAATGTGCATTGACTATAGAGGCCTCAATGGACTGATCATCAGACCCTGAAGTGGATGAGAACCCAGCCAGTTCTCTCCGACACATTGAAACGATGGATCGAAGTCATTGAACCGAATGACTTCGACCCTCCGTACATTAAATGAGAGTACAATAGAGTCGCTGATGCGCTGTCGCGTAGGCCAGACTTCCTTGGTGCGCTGATCACTGAGTTTGGGCTTGCGGACGATGCTACTCGCTCTTTGGTGGAAGCCTATCGCGAGGATCCGCTTACGGCTGAGATCATACGCAGACTCGAGGCGAAGGACAAAATGACTTCTGGTGAGTTTGAGTTGGTCAACGGCCTGCTGTTCCTTGAGAAGGCCCGGAATAAACGCTTGTGTGTGCCTAATCGGGAGTCTTTGCGTAGTTTGTTTTTAGGCGAGTGTCATGATGCCATAGGACATTTTGGATACAAGAAGACTGCAGCTAACTTGCTGCAGCAGTTCTGGTGGCCCACAATGACAAGAGATGCCAAGCTGTACATGGAGACTTGTCACGTATGTCAGAGAGACAAGTCGCGTACACAGGCCCCTCTTGGGCTTCTTAAGCCCCTTCCGATACCGGAAAGGCCTGGTGAGAGCCTCTCCATGGATTTCATGGACACGCTGGTCACCAACAAGAGTGGAATGAGACACATCTTTGTCATTGTGAATAGGTTTAGTAAATATGCTATGCTAGATTAGTTGCCATGCCTGAAACAGCAAAAACGGAGTATGTGATTAGACTCTTCAAGGAGAACTGGTCAGAGACTTTGGGCTTCCAAAGTCTATCATTAGTGACCGGGATGTCCAATTCACAAGCGAGTTGCGGAAGGCTGCAGCTGCAGAACAAGGTACACAGCTGCAGATGACCTCCGGGAACCACCCAGAGGCCAACGGGCAAGCAGAGCAGCTGAACCGCGCTGAACAACACCATTTGCGGCACTACATTAAGCCCAATCAGGTGGACTGGGATGAGAAACTTGTTCTCATTGCCAGCCTGTACAACAACGTTGTGCACAGCGCCACTGGGGTGAGCCCTAACAGTCTGCTATTGACTTTCAAGCCTAGACTACCACTGGATTTCCTACTACCTAAGAACCAGACAACTGCTGCACCTGGCACACTAGAGTCAGCTTATCGATATGGACAACTGATGCAGCAGGCAGTAGAACAGATGCACAGGGCACAAGCGGCAATGATAGAATCTGAGAATAAGCACCACCGCCCATCTACATTCCAGGTAGGGGACAGAGTCTGGGTTAAGTCCTCAAAATTGGGTCGGGATCTCCCGCAAGCTCATGCCACAGTACTTTGGACCCTGGGAGGTTCTAGATATCGTTGGGGATGATCCGGATGGGCCTTCGTAGGTAGTTCAGATCCCTGGTCACCTTCGTACTTCCCCAGTCTTCCACGCCTTCAAACTCGCACCTTCATATGTAGTTCAGATCCCTGGTCACCTTCGTACTTACCCAGTCTTCCACGCCTCCAAACTCGTACCTTTCAAGGAAACTGACCAGTTTCCTTCTCGTGGCTCAATGCTGCCCCCAACCATGGATGGAGAGGTCGACATCGACGACATCGTGCATCACAGAGAAATGCCAGTTCCAAGACCCACAGGCAGGGGACGTCCTCCGAAACCGAAGCAGCAGTATCACGTTTGGTTCAGACATCACACAGATCCTAAGGAGGATAGATGGTTTACACGGGAGGAACTGATGCAGACCGCTCCACAGGTTGTCGCCCACTACGAGAAGTTACTGCAGAAAGGAAAGCGCCAGATTGAATGAACTTCTCAGAGGACTAGCGAAGTATGGAGGAGGGAATGCGAGGCACAAGGCCTCGATAAGCCCTACTGGGCCCTGTTATCAGCGAGGTCGGCCGCCCTAAGTGAAGGCAGGCCCGACCTAGGCCTATTTTGGACTACACGCAACTGGGGGAAAATTCAGGCAGTTGCGCAGCGCCAGTTGGTTGAAAGCGCCCAGGGCCAGGCTGCCTTTATCGTATGTAACTGAGGCAGGCCCTGGGCCAGATACGCAACATGGGCCGAACATAGGCCATGGGCAGTTGGACACGGGTAACCACCACAGGCCCTGGGCCTGATTCGTCTGGACAGAGGCACAGCCTCTCGGGTCCTGCCGGAAGCTTCCGGGCCGGGGCTCAGGGCAGCTTGGCCGCATGCAGCGGGCAGGCCACTTGCATATAGGAAAGGGCCTGCCTCCAAAAGCGGCATTGGGGCACTGGCTGCATGCTGCGCTATACGCTGGCCAGCGCTCACAGGCAGCCATAGCCGAGCTGCACTGCTGTATGCTGGATGGGGCGCCTGGTGGTCCTTGGGTTCATGTGGCATCTGTGAGAGGGGGATCGAGATTGTGAGTGATGCGAGAGACATACCTGGTGCTTGAGGCGAACAGCATTGGCCGAGATCTGCTCGTACTTCAGGGAGCTGTTGACGTCATCAGCGGCATTGTAGATAGGCTAGATAAGATCTGCCATTTGTAGTCTGGACGCCGAGCGCCAGATAGGATATCGACATTGGTTCTTTGTTGATAATGATGAGACTATTCCAGCATTGTCACTTATGAGCTTTTGCTGTGCTCTTATTTGGTGGAACTCGTGATGCAATTCTGCTTTTGGTTCGCGGTCACGACTATCTGGTCTCATGTGTATGATACTGTTTGATTTCTGAAGTTAGCTATCGCTCATTCTGCTTTTGATTCGAGGTCACGACTATCTGGTTTCATGTGTATGATGCTGTTTGATTTCTGAAGTTCGCTATCGCTCATTTTCCTTGCAAGAGGTTCTTTTCCTGGGAATGTTTTTTTTTTTTTCTTTTGCAAAAGGAAAGACAAACAAAGGAAAAAGAAAAAGGATGTCACCACACCTGAACTTGCAGAGATATGGCAGATCGAGAACAGTTCCACTGTGGCATGAATCTATCACCGCATGTAATTTGGCACCCGGCGGCAAAGGCCTCACCAAAGTAGAATTCAGATCGTCGTCGACAATCATCCCGTTCTTCTCAAAATCCAACGGACACAGCGTTTCATCATAGCCGTCAATTTCCTCTCCAGTTTGGTCTTTTTGCTGAGAACCATGTCCAGAATAATGAAAAACTAGCGAGTCGCCGGCACGTACCCCTCGCATCAACCAGTACAGTGCTTGCATAATGTTAATTTTCGTCGGAATCCGACCGCGATCCTTTGCTTCTTCTGCAGAAACACCCAAGGAGCAAACAGGATCACACATGAGAAGCTTTCAACGTTTGTTCCTAGGCTACCAGTTGTGCGATGGCAGGACGTCCTGGCCGGACAGTCAGGGGGGGGTCCTCCAAATCCGGGCCTGGACAACTCCATTTTCAGCAGTTTAAAGCACGAAAAAAAGAAAAAACAAATTGGAGGTGTCTTTAACTTTATTTCATATTTTAAATTTGATAAAAAAAATTCAACATGGCAAAAGTTGTTCAGTTTACCCATGAGCCAGCTCAGTAGGTACACCCATGAACTGTTGAAATGCAGACCAGAGTTTGAATCCAGATGATGGTTCTAGATTAATAAAACCAGATATTTCTGAATTGCCTGAGTTGCCTGGGGTTGGTCAGCCCAATGATGATATCTCAAGGCCGTCGCCCTTTTTTTTTTTTTTTTTTTAAAGTTGTTTCAGTTTATTTTTCAATTTTATCTACATAACATAGTTTTTTTCAGATTTTTTTGATTTTTTTCCTAGGCTACCAGCCGGGCCGCCCGGGTCACCCTATTTTCCCGGACGGCCCGGCCGTGCAAGGACCAGGGGGGGTCCTAGCAAAAAAAAAAAAAAAAGTTCCAAAAAAAAAACTATGTTATGCAGAAAAATAAACTGAACAACTTTTACCTCAGGGTCACATCGAAATTCTTTACCAAATTTAAAATTAAAATTAAAATTAATTTTCATTTTTTTATTTTTTTATTTTTTTTTGGCCCGGCCGACCAAGTGGCCCCGGGCCACTCTGATAGCCTAGTTTTTTTCTGATTTTTTTTTTTTTTTTGGATTTCGGGCTCAGACAGACTTCCCTGGGAGGACGACAGCCTTGACATATCATCGCCAAACTGACCGCCCCTATAATTCCGAAATCCGTTCACCTTGTTCCATCTGGAATCTGGATTCATTCAAACCCAGGTCTGCAATTTTTTTATTTTTTATTTTTTTTAAGTTGTACGCATTCAAGGTAGGCCAGTTGGCACCGGTGTACCAACTGAGCTTAGGCTCGTTGGTAGGGCACTAGAAATTGCTTTTTTCTTTTTCTTTTTTTTAATTTCGACCAGTTCTCGATTTATGGGTACCATCCTTGCGCAGGGGCCATGCTAACATTCCCTGTATTGTTCCAATAAATTTTGACACAAGTCGCAAAGGACGGCTCTGGAAATTTGAAATTATTATTATTTTAATATATACTTTTAATTTTTAAGACATTTTGCTGTGAGTATACTACTGCCCTGCAATGACTTTTCCGGACTGTTTTCAAGTTTTTAAATTAAATCACATGCGAGGATCTAGGTCCTCGGCAGGCCTAAGGGGCCCCTGTTGCATCTGCGCCGGGCGAAGTGAAGGCGGGCCTAATAAATCACGAGAAGCCCTCGGCTGTCAATTTTGTATTTGGGGATCCAGGCAGTTCCATCGCGCCAGTTGGTTAGAGGAAACACAGGCCGAGCAGCGAGGGAATTCCACGGCCTTCTAGGCTTTTCCGAAAGTGCAGGCGCTGGGCGAGATTCGCAGCCTCATACACAGACAGTTGGGAGGCCCAACCGAATGAGGCCCAGTAGCTGCACCAGAGGCGCAGCATCCTGGGGCCTACCGGACGCTTCCGGGCCCAGACCCAGGCCAGCCAGGCTGCGAAGGCAGTCAGGCTCTTTCCATATAGGGAAGAGCTCGCTGCCTGGAGGGGATGGGACACTTGCATGCTGGCGGCAGCGCTGCTGGAGCGGACGCTCGTGGCCTGCTGCTGGCGCTGAGAGGCAAGGTGCTAGCGCGTGCGGTCGTGCAGGGAACAGGGCGCTGCTGAGGGCAGTACATAGCCCAGCCTCCATAGCTGGATGGGCTTTGACAACCGTGAGGCGCAGGGGTGGTCTTCGGGTGTACAGGGAGAAGACGTGGGAGTAAGACGAGGGCAAGAAAGAAGGATGATGATGATGATGATGTGAGGGCACATACCTGGTATTGGCGATGGTCTGAATTGGGCGACATCTTCAAGTACTTTGTGGGCTGCTGACGTCAACAGTTGCATTGTCAATTAGTAGGCAGACTGTAGCTGTGTAGGAAGTAGGCTGGGCGCCGAGCGTCAAGTAGGGAGATAGCGCCTGGACACTCGTGTTGGTGGTGGCGAGAGCAAGCTCTCATTGACATTGGTTTTCAGTGTTACGATTCTTTATTGGTGTTATATTGGTGCATTTCTGCTTTCTGGACACTGCGATACTATCTGGCCTTCAATGTGATTGTGTATTCTGGGCATTGTCATCTCGCTATTGCTCATTTTCCTTGCACACCTTGCACACCTTGCACACAAGTACCTCCGAGCCTCTTTCCGCCTAGGCGAATTCCCCCTGCGTGCCCAAAACAAATGAAGCGCCACGGTGGCATTTTCATTTCCTTTTTTTGCTGGCACCGCCAGACATTTTGGCCTGGTAGCACTGTTTTTTTCCTCTTCTTTTCTTTTCTTTTTCTTTGTCCTTGCGCAGGGGCCATGCTACTCTTCTCTGTATTGTTCCAATTTTTACAGATGTCCCGAAGTACTGTTCATCTCATCCAAACCCCGAATGTTGCATTTTCTTTTCTCTTTTTTTTTTTTTTTTTTTTTTTGGATGCTCACAGAACCCACCCCAACCTACCTCATCGTTCATCTTCCTTAGCGTAACCCCTGCTTCCCCATCTAGGGGGGCACTTGTTCCCTGAGTTTGCTCGCGCGAGGTACTGGTGAGCTAAGGGCCAGGTTGGACTACTCTCCATCCGCCAACATTTTGAATGCACCTGGACGGAATCTTTGACCAAATGCATTCAAAACTTTGGTGGATGCCAAGTAGTGCAACTAGGCCCTAAGGAGAAGAGGGAAAAGGATCTACAGTGGGTTTTGAATGCATCTGGTCAACGATTCCGTGCAGGTGCATTCAAAATGCCTCAAGTCTCCTACACGTGTGAGTATTTTGTCTGTGCTGCGCTACGTAGCACCGTGTTCGCGTTCGGAGGTGAACGCGAACATGTTCGCCCGAACGCGAATAAGCGCCCAAAACCCTCCGAACGTGAACATTAAAAAAAACAACAACAAAAAAAAAAAAAATCTCAGAAAACTCTGAAAAAAAATATATGTTATGTAAAATAACAATACAAGCAACTTTTGCCTTGGAGTCATGTTCAAATTCGTAGCCAATCATGAGTTAAAAATCAAAAACCGAAAAAAAATATTTCTTTTTTTTGTTTTTTTTTTACGAAAAAAATTATGTTCGCCCGAACATGTTCACAAGCTGTTCGCGCGAACACGTTCGCGCGAACATGAAGGGACGCGAACACGTTCGCCGTGCTACACAGGTGCTGCGTACTTTGTCTGTTCTGAGAACAGGTGTGTGCATATCTTCGGCATTGCCGCATGGCACACGAAACGAAAAACGAAACGAGTGCATCTTCGCACTGAAAATAGACAGGTTCATCGGTTTTCTATAAATAGTAACAACTGTATGTTGCCACCTTTCGTGGGCAAATGCACTCGTTTCGTTTCCGTTTCGTGTGGTGTGGCGAGGCCCATTGTGGGTTCTCAGTTCAGTTTATTCAGTTTGTTGTGCTTTCTATTCCAGGCAGTCGGGTGTGAGTATTTTGTCTGTTCAGAGTCTCAGGCGCATGTATTTTGTCTGTTCTCTGTCCAGGTTCATTCATTCTGCTTTCATCTCGGTTTCTGCATTTAGGGGCTCGCTCCACTACTCAACATTCAGCATGTTTCTGGACAGGTGTTCGTGCCAGATACATTCAGGCTGATGGACGGTTTCAAACATATTGAGACCATCATCAGATCCAGGCAGATACTTGGCACATTTTGATTTTGATTTTGATTCTATTCATCTGGTCGAGGTTCAACCAAGGGCACCGAATGTTGTGCAGTGGAGCAAAGCACTGAGCCTCGCCACACGACTTACGAAATGAAAAAAAGATGCATCTTCCCTCAGAGGGTGGCCAAGTGCGTCTGGTACTATTTATAGCAGTACAGGTATCTGGCTAACTTCTGTAGAAAGATGCACTGTGCATTTTTTTTCGTTTTGTGATCAGCATGCCAAGGTCCATTTTGTTATTGTCAGTATGGTTTTCTTTGTTGCCAGTTCACCTTGTCCTGGTCCGGATGAGTTCCCCCGGGACTTCGGCCCTCACGACATTACTCACGAAATGAAAAACAATGCGAGTGCATATTCCCATAGAAGTTGGCAAAAAACATCCGTTGCTATGTATAGTAAAGGATGAATCTAGCCAACTTCTGCAGGAAGATGCACTCGCATTGTTTTTCATTTTCATACCGTGAGTGGTCTGTCGATGCCCTTCGTCTCGTCAGGACCTCTCGTGCCGTACTGTGTCGCGTTTTTCGGTTGATATGTTGTGTAAGGAGAGGGCACAGCGGCAGTGACGTACCCATCAACAAAACAATGTTGGGGTATATTTCAGTCTAAATACAGGAAAAGCGACCAAGTACGTTGTATTCGGGTGAAGAAGCTAGTGACAGGGGTATCACTCAAGGTCTGAGGTTCGTATATACCGAAGAACCCTGTAACCCTACCTTCGTTACCCGAATACAACACATGGTCATTATTGCTGTATTCGGGGTATCTTTCAGTCCAAATACAGCTATATCGTATTCGGGCGAAGAAGGTAGTGACAGGGCGCTCCGTGGTGGTAAGGTACAATGTTGTCGTAGTCTTTATTCCAGATTGAGAAAGCTTCGTTTTTTTCCAAATAAATAAAAATTAACGGTTTCATTTTGTTGGAGGCCAACTAACACCTGTCAGGGGGAAAAAAAAAAAAAAAAAAAAAAAAACCCAACGAATTTCGAAACTTCTTTTGAACTATTTATCAAGAAGAAGAGGGTACTACCCCATATCGCCTTACCCCTCCCAAAAACGGGAAAAAAAAAAAAAAAAAAAAAAAAAAAAAAAAACACGTTTTTTCTAAACTTTTTTGATTGAATTAATTATCAAGACAAGAAAGAAGAAGAGGAAGAGGATACACACACAATCTCAGTAACGTACCTGTCAACAAAACGATGTTCTGTTCATTAAACCCAAACTTCTGCGTCAACATGTACTTCATGCACTTGGCGTCGTTGAGGCAACCCTTGAGCATATATTTCGTGCCGGAGTAGCTTACGCCTACAATCACCGCCCTCTTGTTCCCGCTGACATTTGCCGGCGTCGGCTGATACGAAACTGGGGATGGCTGATGGGTGGTGGGAGGTGGGGCGAAATTAGCGGTAGGAGGGGCAGCAATGTTAATTAGTTGATGACAAACCGCACACGCAATCGACAGTGCGCCAGGTGGTAGCTGCAGAACCGTCTTGCACCTAACACAGTCTACAAGAAGAGGGGGTTGACTTGGACCACTGGAAGTTTGACCAGGACCAGCAGGACGAGGAGGAGGAGGAGGATATAATGATGACGCACCAGGATATTGTCCAAATGTTGACGGGCGAGGGCCTGATTGATGGCCATGGCTTTGACTTTGACTTTGACTTTGACTTGCATGGTAATGTGATTGGACCAGATTGCCAATCTTCTCTACCTTCTTCTTCAACTTTGAAAACTTATTCATTTTCAGATTTATTATCCCCCCACGGCGCCCCCACAAAGATAATCTTGATGTTGGACTCAGCAGCTAAAGCTAAACAATTAGGAAAAAAAGAAAGAAGCTATTAATTCAGAAAGAAAACGTGTACAGACGTTATTAAAAAAAAAAAAAAAAAAAAAACTATGGAAGTTTAAACTTTAAACTATAGGTGTGCGTGTGGGTTATACTAGGGTTCTGTCACTATACAACTCCCCTCGCCAAGTGTCAGCCAGATATTGAAATTCCAGAAAATTCCAGGAAATTCCAGAAAATGCTGGAGATTTCCAGAAAATGCCAGAAAATGTCAGAAGATGTCAGGGGGAAAATGTCAGAAAATGCCAGGAAAACAAAATGCCAGGAAAATGAATGTCAGGAAAAATACCCAAACAAATCCAAAAAAAAACAGAAAAAGTCAGAAAAAATGCCAGAAAAAGACAAAAACAAATGGCAGAAAAAATGCCAGGAAAAATGCCAGAAAATTCCAGGAAGGAAATTTGTTGAAACTTTTCACCAGATAGCTGCTGAAGGACATGAACAATTTAGCACAAGAGCATTTGCATTAGCCCTGCCTTTTATAGCGATTGTTGCTAAATATAGCACAACGACAACATGCAGTCCAGCTATGGCTATTGCTAGATAGCACAATCTCCTGCTGCTACAGCAATTTCTATATTTTATATGCATATATCGTCACAAACAGAGCTGCCCGGTAAACCGCAGGCAGAGAGGGAGAAGAGGACAACAAACGAGGGACTGTGACAAACTGTTTCGTCGGAGTTTCACCGACTCCTCAGGAGGCTGAACCCATCATAGAGAACTGCCCAGTGATCAGTAGGCAAAGAGGGAGAAGAGGACAACAAACGAGGGGCTACAACAGACTGTTTGGTCGGAGTGTATACGTATATAATCTATCATTGCCATAGCCATTTGCTATAGCACTTGCTATACATTCCAAGGAACGCCATCGCTACAATAGCAATAGCGGTATTGATGGACACGGCAGAAGATACCACCAACTGAATGACGCAAGAACAACAAGCAAATTTGGTTTAACCAGAAGAAGAAAAAAAAAGCAAAAAGAAAAAAAAAAGGCTCCTTGCCTTAGCAAAAATTGAATGAATTTTTTGAGGAAAAAAAAAAAGAATGAATGAATTTCCACTCGCCCCTTCCCCACCCCCCTTCCCCCAAACAACCAAAAAACACCAAAAAAGAAAATCAACTGCTTTGCTCGGGCGCTGTATCAGCAACTCCGTGTGGAATCCCAAGGACAGTAAAGATGCCCTGACACGTGTCCTTCCCAGATTGCATAACAGCAAAACCCGGTTATCACCTCTCCCACCTTTCCTCCATCACTCCTGCAAAATAAGAGAAGGAAAAAAAAAGACAAGTTGGGAAAAAAAAAAAAAAAAAAAAAAAAAACAACAACAAGACAAGGAAAACAACAAAAAAAACAAAGCAACAACAGTCCAGAGGCATGAGAGCCATTTCTTCTTTTTTTTTTGGCTAAGTTTCAAAAATAGCGCGTCGCCGTAGTTTCACAGCAAAAATAGTGCCCGGGCCGCGAAGTTTGGTTGCAAAAAAATATATCCTTCATCGCAGCTTTAGTCGTCCTGGGGCCAAGTCCCACTTAACGCTGATCGTTCATTCTTGGCCGTTGATCTTCCTAATCGACGGTCGGAAATTGAGAATTTGGGCAAGTGGGACTTGACCCCCGGTAGTTTCACAGCAATTTTTTTTGCAGGCGGAGTGCCACTTTCCGTCCCTGCAAAAATGGACCATTTCTCGATTTATGCATGTAATCCTTGAAAGTGCGAGGCCACTGCCTCGATAAGCCCCATAAGGCCCCATTTTGCAGCCCGTCGGCCGCCCTAAGTGAAGGCAGGCATGACGAGGCCCTCAGGGCCCTATTCTGGCCGCCACGCAACTCACGGAAATTTAGGCAGTTGCGCAGCGCCAGTTGGTTGAGTGAACCCAGGCCCTGGGCTGCCTGTGTGAATGAATGTGAAGCAGGCCCTGGGCTGGGTACGGGTACCGGGCCAAACACAGGCCAAAGGCAGTTGGGCGCATACAACCACCTCAGGCCCTGCCGGGGCCTACTGGAAGCTTCCTGGGACTGGACGCAGGCAGGCCACTTTGACATAGCAAAGGGCCTGCCTCCTCTTTGGGCATATTCCGGTGCTGGCTGCATGCTGCGTGAGCGCTGCTGCGCCATTTGCTGGCTGGCGCCTACGCTCTCACGGGCGAGCAGGGAAGGATCACGCAGCCATAGCTGAGCTGCGCTGCTGTATGCTGGGTGAAGCGCAGGGTGGTCCTTGGGTGCTAGTGGCATCTGTGCGTTGGGGAACGAGGTTGTGAGTGTGGCGAGAGACATAACTGGTGCTGGAAGCGTGCGACATTGGTCGCCATATGCCCGTACTTCGGGAAAGCTGTTGACGTCATCTTTTGGCATCGTAGTATAGGTTAGATAGGATCTGCCACATGTAGTCTGGGCGCCGAGCGCCAGCTAGGATATCAACTCTGGTTCTTCGTTGATGATGATGGGACTATTTCAGCATTGTCAATTATGAACTCTTGGTGTGTTCTTATTTGGTGAATCTCGTGATGCAATTCTGCTGTTGGTTCGAGGTCACGACTATCTGGACTCATATGTATGATGCTGTTTGATTGCTGAAGTTCGCTATTGCTCATCTTCCTTGCAAAAGCGCAGGGGCCATGCTAATCTTCTTTCTCTGTATCGTTCCAATTTTAACGGATGTCCCGAAGGACGTGCAAAAATGGATCTTTCGGACCCATTCATCATTTCTGCTGCCAAACTTGGAAAAAAAAACGGGCTATTTCTGCAATTAGGCGATTAGCCCTTCCTTTCCCCCTTTTTCTTCCTTCGGAACGAGAGCAAAATTCATCTTTAAAAAAAAAAATAATAATAATAAATTAATCTTCTCCAGCTCTGATGGTTTAAATACGCAAGACCGAACAGGCACCGGCCCAGCCGTATTAAACGATGCCGTCAACAGAAACCACGGCTGTATCGGTGCAGCCGGGCAACCCACTCGCCAAACGGCAACATCTTGAATGTATCTGGACAATCACTGGTCCAGAAACATTCAAAAATTCTGGCGTTTATCCAGCGGCCTAGCTCAGTTGGTAAGGCACACAAGTGGCTTTCAGGAGGTCTTGGGTTCAATCCCCATTGACCACCTCATGTACCTTCCTGGGCATGCTTGGCACCCACCACCTAGAGAAAGCCCGTTCGCCCCCCCCAAAGGGGTCTCTGCTGATGTTCATAGGCGGAGGAGGGGTAATCAGGGAGGCACAGCGACTGGCCACAACTCAGATGATGCTCGGTCCCTCTGCTACCGGCTGTCCCCTGGCCGGTGTCCCCCATGGGGGTTCCCTGAAGGCAATAAGGCCACCTTGGAAAGTGGTCCCACTACCGTCTTCCCCCGATCATAACGCACCCTAAAACTGAATGCATACAAGCTTTATTTCCGGTCAGATACAGCCAAAATGAGGGTGCGTTGTGTTCGGGAGAAGACGGTAGCAAAGAGGATCGGATCGAATGCCTGAATGTGGACGTGTTTGTAGAGAGGTGCAGGAAATCGAGATTGAACTGCTTTTCTGCATCGGTGCATAAAACACATCCAGATTCAGGCATTCGATCCGAGTCTCTTTGCTAGGCGTTTGGGGAGTGGTGAGACGAGACTCAACCTAAACAACCACACCTGGGGCCAAATCCCACAAGCAGCGTTGAGTTTCCTGAACTTCTGAATCTGGACGTGTTCAAGGCGATGTGCGGTTGAGGAAACTCAACGCGATTTCTGCACATCTCCACAACCACATTCAGATTCAGGCGTTGCGAAACTCAACGCTGCTACCGTGGTGGGACTTGGCCCCTGCGATTTCCCAAAAGACGTACATAATGACGTCAAAACAGAAATGAGCGGAAAATTTGCGCGTGCCCGTAGCGTAGGTGTGTCTACACGTGCGGGGCGCAAATGAGGGGGGGGGGGGGGAGGGGGGGGGGGGGAGGAGAGGGGGGAGGGGCGGCGACAAAAAGAAAGCCAATTTCCCTGAGCGGAAATTCAGAATAAAAAAAGAGACACAATTCCCTCCTTCCTCTTCCCCCACTCGCCCCTCCTCGCACCACCCCCCTTCCTTCCTTTCCCCCACTTCCCCCTCTTTCTTTTTCATTTTCCCTCAAGTCGCTTCTCTCTCTTTTTGTTTCCGCTCCGCTCAAGACGAATTCTCTAAATATATTAAAAAAAAAAAAAAAAAAAAAACGAATTCTCTTTCTTTCTGTTTCAGACCCCTCCTCTCCCCTTCACCCCCGGCTGCTCACACAGAAGATGGGGGGGAAAGGAGGGCAGGGGGGAAGAGAGCGGGGGAACATGGGACAGACTAGAGCAGGAAAAAAGAAGATGGGGGGAAAGGAGGGCAGGGGGGAGGAGAGCGGGGGGACATGGGACAGACTAGAGCAGGAACAAAGAACGCGAGGACGTATTCCGCACTCCCCACGCCCAATCACTCCCATACCGAACCTACGGAACCTCATCCCGACCCTCATAAGAGGTCGAGCGTTCGAATCCCTTTCTCCGCTCATCAGCATCGCAGCTATAAGCCTGTCTACCAATTCCATCATATCCGGATGCTGATAGCGACCCTCATACCGACCTCCGTACAGGTCGAGGGTTCAAATCCCTTATTTCGTTCGTCAGCTTCGGTATGAGGGTCGCTATGAGGGTCGTTATGAGCTTCGGTATGAGGGTCGGTATGAGGGTCGGTATGAGGGTCGCTATGAAGGTCGCTATAAGGGTTGTTATGAGGGTCGGTATGAGGGTCGATATCAGCCTTTTGATATGATGGAATTGGTAGACATGCTTATACCCGCGAAGCTGAGGAGCGGAGAAAGGGATTCCAATAAGCAGGTCTACGAATTCCATCATCATATCCAAATGCTCATACCATACCAATCGTCATACCTACCTTCATACCGATCCCCATCAGGCCCAGCCGAG